AAAAAAAAAAAAAAAAAAAAAAACATTTTTCATACATTAGAAATAAAAAAAAAAATGTTGTGCGGTTCCTATGCTTGCTTGAAAATGTCGGCAACATTTTCTACAAATGCCCCATTATAAACAATTACTTCCAGTGTTCACGTGTGATTACTATTAATAAATTAAATTATTTAAGCTTTTTCAACATTAACATAAAATTAATGAAATTGATGAATTCTGGCTCATAATGTTTAAACCTAATCTTTGTATTTACGAGTTTAATTTGGTAATTTAATATAATTAAAGTTAAATATCCATCATTCAATTTAATTACCGGCTGGCATTTTCTTGTTTTAGTTTTTATGAATTAATATCCAAAATAGAAACGAATATTCGGAAGTGTTTACGTATAAGACCACCCGTTGTACCGTTCATGCACTGGCTATAAGCAATTTACTTTATTTATTTATTTGTTTTGGGAACAGGGCAAGTTATCTCTTTACCTATAAAATTGGAAGTAATTATAGTTTGGTTTTACCTCGAAAGCCCTTCATTCTTCGGCTCCCCTCATCCAATTGCCCTGCCATGGCTGCTGGTTCGGAGCTCGTTTCTCTGCTTCTATTGCTCTCTATTGCTAATCTCTGCAATGGAGGCATTACCAGTAGATACACGAGAAAACTTGAAGCTTCTGTCGATATGCCTGCAGAAGCTTTTCCCCCGCCCGGCGGTTACAACGCGCCAGAACAGGTCTTGCCCAATCGAAACTCGATCTCGAAGGATTTCAGATGCTATCTTTTTTCGGCAGTTTTTTTTTTTATATTGCTTTGGTGAATTTGCAGGTCCATATAACACAGGGAGATCGTGATGGCAGAGGCGTTATAATTTCTTGGGTGACGCCATTGTCGCCTAAACCTAATGTTGTTAGATATTGGGCAGCGGATTGCGATGAGAAACATGCCGACGAATGTCAAGCTAGAACCACTACTTACAAATATTACAATTACACTTCCGGATTTATCCACCACGCCACCATTAAGAATCTCAAGGTTCGTTCTCTTCTCGTTCTGGTCTTTGAGTCTTGTGCCTTTTCCTGATTTCCAGTTTGGTTTCGAAAATTGTATCGCAGTACGGCACCAAATACTTCTATGAGCTTGGGAGTGACAATGTGACGCGTCGGTTTTTCTTCACAACGCCTCCCATGGTTGGTCCTGATGTCCCGTACACATTCGGCATCATTGGTAATAGTTTGTCGCTTTCTTCCTCGCACATGATTCGGTCGCATCTTCCTGTTTTGCTTAATCGGCATCAGTAATTGCATTATCTCCGCAGGCGATCTTGGACAGACTTATGATTCGAATCAAACGTTTGAGCATTATTATTCAAATTCTAAGGGACAAGCTGTGCTGTTCGTCGGAGATCTTTCTTATGCCGACAATCATCCGTTTCACGACAATAGGAAGTGGGATACATGGGGTCGATTTGTCGAGAAGAGCACTGCGTATCAGCCGTGGATTTGGACCGCCGGTAACCACGAAATGGATTTTGCTCCAGAAATTGTAAGAACATAACATAACAGAACAAGAACATTTATATCTTCTAATTCTACTTGAATTTTCAAGCCAATTTGACTTCGTTGTTTCAGGGAGAAAAAACCCCTTTTAAACCTTTTACGCGTCGGTATCACGTCCCTTACAGATCAGCACAAAGCACATCTCCTCTCTGGTATTCCATCAAGCGTGCATCTGCCTACATTATAGTCCTTTCTTCTTACTCTGCTTACGGTATGTGTTGATTGATTGATTTGTGATTTGGGTGTTCAATTACTGTAAAAAAAAAAAAAAAAAAAAAGCTCA